TGCTTCCAAGAGCCGGTACTGAGAGTCGTCTCCATCAAAGTAACACCAGGACAACTGCGTGGTACGAGATCAGGGCTACCATGTATCAAATTTGAGGAAAATGCTTCTGGACTACACATATTAGGTGAAGGGATTTGTCAAATCAGGAACCTTCAAAATGAACTGACACCTTTTTCTGGAACTTTTAAGCCGGGACAAATTAGACATCACTGAGGCCGTTTGTACGGCATTGCTAGCGGTCGATGCATACGGGCAGGAGAATTCCGTACCATTGCGATACTGGACATCTTTTTCAGTTCCTTGGAATCGTCGCGACAAAACTGGGTGTAAAGTAGAAGGGTACATTATGATATGATGCAGCGGGGTTTCAATTCCTCAAAGGCTGCCTTATGGCACGGTTCAAGCACAAAAGCCATCTCATCAACTAGAAAGAGGTTGTTCATTTGTACATCGAGATTTTGAGTATCGACAAGCGCATTCAGCCAAAATTGACGCGAACAGGACCTCCATTCCTAAGGTAAGGTAGGACGTGATATTTGAAGCTTGGCAGACCCGGAGTAGTCAGAATTGGTGTCTTCCGAGATCTCTACGGCATCTCGTAACCCGAAAATTGCTGAAAACTAGAAGATCAATGCTGAAAGGATACTCGTTTGTCCCAGCGGGGAAAGTGGAAGCCGATTCTCATGAGTCTTACCGAGGTGGCAGATGGAACTGAACACTTTGAACTTGCCAACATGCATGGCATCCAATGGGCGGCTGCGGGAAGGATGCGCATCTGTAAAAACATAACCGGCGCGGTCGCAAGATCTTTCCTTTCGCGTAGGCCATGAATATGTTGTTCGGCTTTCGATCATTTGCCGGCCATGTAATGAATCTGGATTCGACTAGAACCTGCTGTTTTAATTTCTGAAGGCTATTTCGCTTATTTTTCTTACTTGCCACCCTATGATGCGTCTTCAGGGTGATGAACGGAGTGGTGTAGAAGCAATTTAGCGACGTCACATATCAAAGCGTCAAACAAATCCGCCCCGGGGCACAACTTCCGCCAGTTCCAGAATCGCGTCAGAAACAAGTAAGTAGTTGAATCAAGAAAGTCGCAATCTCCGCTACAAGGTCCTGGGTATCTATGTAAATCCCTCATGGGCAGTGCAAACACGAGACGAACCATCATCGGGCAGCGATCGTTTCATGACGGACAAGTTGGAAGGATGTTGCCGGACGCAATGTGGCTTGCAAGAAAGTCCAAGATTCATTCCTGACTGGATATTTTGAACTGAATCGTGTCTGTTCTTATGTCGACCTCTTGTCCAACCGATGGGTCCTGACCTCGGCACTACGATAGTGTCTTGCGAACGATGACTAGCTCCTCGCGGGATGATGCATCTCATTGGCTTACCCCAGCCAGCTCTTCCAACGGCTAAGGCTAACACCGTCCAACTAATCAACGCTACTGTTGACCCAGCTCAAGAGCTGTAAGCTGGTTTGAGGCGAGGAAGCAATTGCCGAGAAATGATTGGCTCGCCACCGCAAGACACCGGTCAGCCTGTCTCTCAATTCTCCTCTTCCTCCCACCACCACCAACATTCAATACGAGCTCCCAGTCCAACGAGAACCTTATCAAATGTTTGTCGCGTGCCTGTGCCCAGCCTCGGTCCATTCACTGTGGGCTCAGCCATCCTATCACCTGCACGACAAATCACATCGTCAGGGTTGTGTTCCCTCCAACTCACCAATAACCCCGGCCTCAATAGCTCGATGCGTCTTGAACCCGACATGAGCACCGTCCAACAGCTCGCCCAACCCGCACCCACATCAGACAAACGATTCGTTCCCGCCCAAAAAGCTTAACGAAAACAACACCTGCGGTAGCGCCAGGTCCAGAGATCAGCACCACACCGTCCACGGCCACCCCTGTCGCTTCCCCCGCGTCTTGCCCCGTATCGGAAGGCAACCCCGACCCCAGCTGGCCGGGGTAACTGCGGGGGAAAGTGGGCAACGGCCAAGATGGCTGGGCGAGGGACATAATCGTCGGCCAAATTTTGGATGTGTGTGGGTGGTGTGGGTGACATCCCTCCACCCGCGTCGTATTAGTGATGATATTCCCAATATTAGCATGACCTCATGCCGAAGAGCCGTCGGGGAAAGCCACATGTGAAAGCGACTTTACCAGAGGAGAGAGAGATAGCTCCCGAGGAAGCTAGCTGTTGGGCTGCTGCGAGGAGCAGCTGAGAAAGCGGGCGATCATTTGTGACCCCAAGCTCCAGTCATGTCCAAGCAACGACCCAAGCAAACAAAATAACGTGACTACCCTTGACCTCCCCGTTCCCACTCCTACCCTCTTTCTACGTGGGGTTTCTATCCATTCGAAGAGAAAGCTTGTCACCTTTTCACCTCCTGCATGCACCCAGCTCCCCCCGTCTCCTCCCAGAACGAATTGGACGCTGCATCTTCATGCTCACAACAACCCCTTGAAGCGTTTCTCGTTTCACCATCTCCCAATTCAGTCTCTATCACAATCGCTTAACCACCTCTTCTTGGGATAGAAAAGAAGAAGACGCCTACGATGAAGAACATTGTTGGACTTGTCGCCGGCGTGGTGTTGCTGGCGAGCGGTGCGGCCGCAGCGGAGAACTGTGCGAGGGTTGCCGTCACCGCGATCCCTTCCTGCGCGCAGAGCTGTTTCCTCGAGGGCGCGTCGTATGTTGGCTGCGATAGCCTCGATTTTGGATGCCAATGTGGAAAGGAGGCGGCGCTGTATGCTGCGATTGAGCCTTGTGTCGCGACTGGTTGTCCTGCCGCGTCATTCCAGGCTGTTATCAACGGTGCTTCGTCTGGTGAGTCGCGCTCTTCCTTTCGTATCCGAATCAAACACCTTGTCCGTGTCGTGGTCCACTATGGGCCTTGCCAATATCAATCTCAATTCCATGCTGCGGTGATACTAACACCCAATTAGTTTGTGGTTGCGCCGGTGCAGGTGCAGGCGGCCAAACCGTCTCTGGCTCGTTCGCTTCGGCGATGTCCTCTCCCTCTGGCATTGGATCTACGTTGGCAACTGCGACTGCAAGCGCATCCGGCTCTGGTGGTGCTGGAGGCTCGTCTGCCTCAGCGACGCAAGGTGGTGGAGGAAACCCATGGAATCCGCCTGCCACGGTCAGCCCGATCTCAACCGCGTCCCCTATCAACGCCGCCGGCCGTCAATCGGACTTCAAGTTCGGCCTGCTAGCCGCTATGGCCGGCGCGACGATATTCGCCGGAATCATGCCTTAGACCGACATGATGGGCGGAAGCTATTACGGATCCCAAAAGGGCCTATGGTTGGGGATTGCTGAGGCTTAAGGGTACAACGAGGGTACGACGTTGATGGTTCGGAAATTTCTTCACATTCTATGACATTATTTGCACCACGATTCATGGACGGATATACCCAGAGGCCGGCGACCTACATACTCAGCCCGACTCTTCTTCTACCAACGACTCCATCTATCGATGATCATCACCGCCATGGTCCCGATTCAATTCGAGTTATGCAACGCCGCGGTCTCCCGAGACTTTCTGTTCCGCGGAGAGGTCATGCCAGATGGTTGTAGCGATGACGACGCAATCGGACGTTTGGATGGAGTTCGTTGCGGATGGGGTTAGTTGATTAATCCTAATTATAGAACAAGCACATTTCGAGCCATCGAACATGATTCGGGTTCGCGCATTTGCAGGGCTTGTCATGCATCACGCACATGCGCAGCATCACTCCTTCAATGCTGAGATAGAGAGCTTAATACAACATGTTGTTTTTGCATGCTTCTGAACCAACAGGGATGATCAATACCCTGACTGAGAAGTCTTTCAATGGGAGCTTGAATACGTCATGATTTTTAGGGGGCACCACATCGCCGTTGTGTCTTAACAAATATTGTTATTGAATCAGAAGCAGTCATATGATGATGATGCTTGGTCTGCGGCTGCGTGTTCAAATATTTCTCCTTTGTCTGGTTGCTGACAGTATGACTCCAAGAAAGAAAAGTCGAACGTATCATTCCCTTCTTCCTCGAATCTCTCGATAGTATCAAAGAGACCACTACAGGACACCTCAAGATCTGTTGACCCCACGTCGGATGGTTTTGCCGTCTTATCCAACTTCTGCGATGAACTTTCACTTTTCTGAAGGACGTAAGCCTTCAAAACTTCCAACGATTCTTCTTGTAATATATCTGCTATCTTGGCCTTTGCATGATCCGAAATGATTTGGAATTCACGGTTCAGGTTGACGAGAATTCGTCCTGGCAGATGCTTCTTCAAGAAACCCTCGTATTCCAGTGGATCGAAAACGTTTGAGAAGGCCTCCGGAGTGCCACAAGCCTCGAAGTCTAAATGTCCGAAATTATGGTCAGAATTGATGATTGTGAACGTCCTCTCAATGGACGCGAACTCACATGGACTAGGTATTGAATCTTCGTCCGCATCGGGGAAAAGAATGAGGTAAAACTCTTTCCAGCGCGCAAGCAACGGTGTTGTGTGTCGTTGGCGCTTTTTGCTGATCATTTCCCACTGCATCTGGGTCATAAATCCCATCTGTGGCTGAATCTCTCTGACGGGACAGATATTATCAAGTGATCTCAAGTGCTCCTGGAGTGCCTGATAAGATTCGAGATGCAATCCACAGCGTTGGCAGCTGTTTTCCTTAAAGTGTCTTCGCTTGAGGTGCTCCCTGTCAAATACGTCGGCAATGTTTACGATGTATAACCGACTAATCGACAAGGTCCAGGTACTGACTCCACTCGATGCGTACCATCAAATCCAGGTCCAACGCATGTCCTCCATGTACCAAACTCCGCGGGAAACCGCTTCATGTAGGGGCAGGCAATCTTTTGTTGGTCTGCTTTGTTCCGTTTGGCCTCGGGCACCTCGTCGTCTGGGGCTTCACCTGACTCGTCGGAACCATCGTTTGTCTGGAGTGCTCTTTTGCCTGTTGCTTTTTCTTTTTCTTTTCCTTGCGACCTCTGACCTTAAGATTCCGGGGGTTCTTTCGGTCCCTGCGAAGGACGGGAACGTCCAGATGACGTGCGTCCACGCTGCTGAGCCTCTATGATGCCAAGCCTGTAGTCGATGTACTTGTTGAAGAAGCCTAACAGCCTGCCGAGAATGGCTTGGACCCCTTTGCTGGAAGAAATCGTTGTCGCGATGTTTAAATCCGTGCTGGAAAATAGTTCGGCCATGGAAGATTCCGAGCACGTTCCAGGTGATGGTGCATCTCTCAAACTTTTCCAGTAGCGCGTTCGCGCAGCCATCGCGATCTTGTTCCCGAGGAAACGATACTGAAAGTAGTTGAAAACAGCGAACTCGTCTCGATTCAGAATACATGAGTCCGGGTCTGCGGAAATCTTCGCGCAGACCTGCCCTATTGCGGCCTCCAGAACGGAGACGATGGTCGGGTCTGATGCACCGTTAGGGCTCTCACGGGCAATCTCCAGGGCTTGCGACACAGTCTGCCAGTATATGATTCCCTGGTGCCCTGGAGCATTAGGTTTCGTATACCCTTGAGGTATGACTTGTGTTTCCATTAACGAAGCGTTCTTATTCTTGAGAAAATTGAGGACACATGATAGTGCGGTTGCGTCGTCCATTGCGGGCGAGTTGGCAATATTTTGAGGCGGGTATGATGATGTGAAATATAATTTTTGCATGGTGATCAATCTGTCTAGTCTTCTCACTGGATATAGAAGCCAATCACAATCCGCGATCTTGCTAAATGAAAATGCGCAAATGCGTAGACCGCGGCTGCGTTGGCTTGAGCTGATTTGCTAGACCCAGAGTGGAGCAACCACCCGTTCTTCTACTTCTCCCAAGCTCGCCTAAATATTGTGGCCTAACGAAGTCTGACAGCTTTTGGTAGACAAGAAACGCAAATCATCATGAGAAGTAATATCATGTGGCTGAGAATATTACACTCGCACCATGTTTTTCGAGACAAACGTCATAAGACTAATGTGAAATATTATGACTTCAAGCAAAACATTCCCCCGCCGTCAAGGCGACGGTGCTGGTGACTAAGGAAGTTGGGACGGCATTAATATTCAATATGTAACTTCGATACCATGAACTTCAATTCAGACTCCCATATCCTGAGTCGGCAGGTTCTTTGCCTTTACCATTGCCTGCCTGCCACTCGCCATCTCCATTCAGAAAGCCAAGATCGAACAGATCCTCATCACCGAACATGTTGATACCTCGAAACAAGTCTTCGTCAGGTGCTAGCATGTCTGGCAGTGAACTTGTCGACTCCGACAAGACCTCATTTCTTCCTTCGCTCTTCTGGCGTACGTAGGCTTTCAATGTTTCCGAAGATTCTTCTTGCACAATGGCAGCCAATTGCGCTTTGATCGTCTCTGAGAATACAGCCAACTCCTTCTGCAGCCGCATGAGCACCCTGGATGGTAAGTGACTTTTCAGATACGCCTCGTATTCTTCATGGTCGAACAGTGCTCCAACGTGGTTTGTGACATTTGATGTGTCAAAGACTGAACAAGCACGTCAGATATCTCGAGAGGCTGGGAGACCCAACATGTAATACTTACATGGGCTTGGGATTGAGTCAGGTGGTGTATCCGGAAACAAAATAAGATAAATCTCCTTCCATTTCTCTTCTACAGAACACCGACGACGCTTGCGGGTAATCGCATCCCATTGGGTTGAAGTCATAAAGCCTTCTCCAATTGAAACATTTTTTAAGATGCATGGAGTCGGCAATCTCTGGTGGTCTTGCAGCGCTTTCTTAGTTGCAAACAAGTCGCCACACCTTTCACAAGTGTGCTCCTTGAAATGTCTCCTTTTGAGATGTTCCCTGTGCATCATTTACCAGTCAGTCAACTGTTCTGCAAAGCATCCAATATCGACGAACTTACTTCATTCTATTCATTTCGTCAAACCCAGGACCAACACATGTTGTCCATGTCGAAAACCTCTCTGGAGAGTTTTTCATAAATGGACACGCAATCCGCTGTTTCTTTGCCGTGTCGAGTTTTGAGCGCTTTGCGCCAGGATCGTCCTCTGGTGCTTCTCCAGAACCGTTGTCATCGCTCTCCGTCTGTCGGGACCTCTTAGTACCACTGGTTGAATTTTGAGCAGTGGTTGTTGATCCTCCATAGCCATTGTGCTGAGCCTCTTGAAGGTACGTTCGAGACGAGCTGCCTACATATCCTCCTGCAAGTTCCCGCGTACCCAGCCTCAAATCAATGAATCGACTGAAGAACGGTTCTAGGCTAGCTTGGGCTCGTAGAGTTCTATGATTTGAAACGAGCGCGGCCGCGAGATTGAGCTCGGAGTTATCCGTTGCTGTAGATTCCGAAGTAGATGCTTCCGAGGGAGATACTGTTCCTAGAGAGGGCATAGGCGAATAATGTCTCATGGACTCCTCTTTTGGTGAAGAGTCCATCAATTCGGGTAACGTAGAGATGAGCTGGCTATCACAGACCAGAGATTGGCGTTTTGCGTGGGTCTCAGGTTGCGGTGACACTTCCTCAAAGTGGATAGGCGACGTCTCTACATGTCCTTGTTCATGGGGCCGCTTCATCTGGCCAGGCGCCTGGACTTCGGTTTTCTTCTTTTCCTCCTGTGGATCATCAACATCGCTTCTTAATTCTCCTTCGTCATCATCGAAGTATTCCTCGTCATCGTCGAAATTTTCTCTCTCATCGTGAAAAGCTCTTTCCTCTGCGCAAACTCTCGCTTCATTTTCGTAAATGCTCAGTTCATTTGCGAAAAGGTCCTCCTCATCTTCGTCATCGCGGATGGGATATCTCGAAAGTTGTAAAGGCCGAGAGGCCAATTTTAGTTCAGGCTTACCGCTCTTTATTTGTGAGGGCACCGCATCCACAATGACAGAGCTAGGAGGTGTGGATACTTGGTTGTGGCTGAACAAGGAGGTGGACGATCCGATACGTCCTCGATGACGCCGAGGGATCATTTTGCTTTGAGGCTCTCTGGTGCCGAATTTTGAGCGAACAGCGAGTTGTTCCGCATGCGGGTCAACGCGACTATTTTCTTAGTAGCTGCTATACACCATTGTTTATAGACGATCTTACGCACCACGTGGCATCCTCGTCGGAATCGGACCAACTTAAACGTCTCCCACGGGCCGAACTCCGGGAAGAAGGATATTGGGAACTCGGTTTTAGTCTATCAGTGATGGTAAGCTGGGAGACGTTGTCAAAGCACAATAGAAATCAGAACGCATTGCATACCTTTGCGCGCGCTCCGGTACCCTTGGGGCCGAGGTGGATAGACTGGTCATCGCACTGGTGATTCCGCCAAGCTCAACGCGGGGAAAGTCAACTGGTGACAAGTATGAGAAGACAGGCGGCAGGTCCGATGTGATAGGCGGAAGCATATCCCTCTCCGAATTTTCCGATCTCAGGGAGCTCTGGGACGAGCTTGCGGATATGGTCCGCGTTAGCGATTCATCATCATCGTCGTGTTTTCTATAGCCATTAATCCTCCGAAAATGGTCCATCGTAGCAGAAGCGTTTCTGAGAATGGAAAATGGAGATGTCCGGAGAACAAGAAACTTTCCATGGTTGGAATACACTGAATGTATAGGAAACCTGTCAGCAAAGCGGGGGATCGCGCCTATTTGACACGACGCAAATGCGCAGATCGCGAGAGCGTCCACTTCTTATTGGCTGCTGTGCTTGGCCAAACAATCTGACACTGCGTCAACTGTTCATGTCCGGCCACACTTGCGCCTTGGCAGGTGGGTGGCTAGTCACCTCTAGCCAGTTATTGAGGCAGGCTGTATTATTAGAATAAAGGGTGAACATTCAGCATCGATATAAGGTATCGTACCACAGAATTTCAATCGTTCCCCTGCTGCCTGCACGCTGTTGATCCAAGAACCGCCACGTACTGGCCATTTTTTCATAAAAGAAAACCTTCAACAGAGATGACTTCCAATTTGCCTTTAAAAACACGGTGAAGTACATGCCTTATTCTAAATAGATTGATCGCATTGCTACTCCAGCTCTCCATCAGCCCAAACGACAATATTTGTCGGCGGATCCTCCAACCCATTAAAGAACTCCACAATATCCTTATTACTATACCTCATACTGAAATGAATCAGTATAAACGTCGTCTTCGGCCACTTCCTCACCACCTTCTCCAAATCCTTCCACTTCGTATGCTTCGTCTTCTCCGCCTGCGCATCATGCTTATCATACAGAAAGCTGCACTCCGTAATCACCACCGCGACCTCCTGCCGCAGCCACTCCGGCTCCGCAGCCAACGTCGTCGCCGTCCCGTCCCCGAGAAACGCAAACACCGGCGTCGTCACCGGCGCCGTGATCTCCACGCCCGCCTGCCGCAGCTTCTTGATCTCGGGGCCCGGCAGCGACGTGTACTCGGGCTTGAGCTTGTGGTTCGTCGTCGAGAAGAGGTAGCCGACGCTGGGCACGTTGTGGTCGCACTTGAAGACGGAGACAGTCATGTTCTTGACCTTGCGCAGGGGCAGGGTGTCCCCCGGCTTGACGGGGATGGTGTTGTGCGTGCCGAGGAAGGCGCGCTCGCCTTCTGTCCTGCCGTCGGCGTCGATGCCCTGCCCGTCGACTTTGAGGCCGAGGGACTCGGCGTCGGCACCGGTGTAGGTGCCCCCGCGGTTGAGGAGCGTTTTGGCGAGGACGTAGTCGTCGAAGAGTTTCCTGCACTCGGTGGGGAGGATAATGTCCGGTGGGTCTTCCCGCTTTGTGAAAGCTGGTGCGAGGAGCTGGCGTGGTAGTTAGCAAATGGGTCATGTGTAAGATGTTTTCGGAGAGACGAACGCAGTGGTCGCTATGTGTATGTGTCAGGACGATGTGTTTTGGTCTTAGATCGTTGACGACGAGGCCTGCGTCCAGGAGGAGGTTGAGTTGCGGGATGACGAAGCTTGTATGCCATGCTGCCCGGGACTTGCCGATCAATGTGTACTGGTACGGCTTGGGGAAGTGCCACTCGAGAACCTCAGAGCGGGAGGACTGCGGTAAGGGCGTCGCGAATGAGAGCCCTGATTTTGCCATGATGAGTATGGGTGGAGGTCTCTTGCAGCCTCCAGTTGGGGTTTTGGGGTAGTTGTGGTCAGTGTATGACTAGCCGTAACCATCAATCTGACACAGACTACTGTATGGAGTTCTGAAGCAGTTGTTCTTTGAAGCTATATTGATCAAGGCCGGCTGATGTCTCTCAGTTTATGTTGTGATATGAAATGGCGGCCTCAGTGACTCTTCATCCCTTGAGTGAGTCAAGCTGGCGATTCAGCCACAGCAGGTCGCGATATTGGGCCAACAGGTTGGCCTTACAAACAGTAGCCGGCGCTTATCAAGGTTGATGGCAGGGATCCAATGGCGGTCACTTTGGAGGTCGGACGGTGTGGCTGATGGTGTTTAGGCGCGTAGAGAGACGGTCACCGAGGCAGATTTTTTGCTGATGTCATCTCTGTGTTTCTTAACGCCGACAGACATCGGCGTTAAAGCGTCTCCATTGCAAATCACGATCAACCATTGGCTGGCACTCTCCAAAGACACGAGAATGCCCAAGATGTGTCGAGGTCATTACTCAACACCACGAAAGCCTCATGCACAGTCATTTCAGAACCTCA